TATAGTTTTGGAGATTATCATTGTATTTGAGTATTTTGGTTGGTTTAAGACTTTAAGTTCACATTCTTGGAGGTATTGTTTGGAAACATTAAAGGAGTTTCCTATAATTAGGTTGAAATTTCAATCTTTAGGTATATGAAGGTGTTTATGAACATAAGCTTTCAAGATTGATATTTTTTTTTTTTTAAGTAATGGGCAGCTCAATTATCTTTTCAAGATTATGATTACATTGAGTAGTTTTAGGGAGAGTTAACCTTAGAAGGGTTTTTAATTGAAATCAAAGGGAATTTTCTATAATAAGGCTACATTTGAAGGGATGTCTTTTTAATTAGTCCTTTTTTTCTTACTAGTAATTCAAAACAATTTAAGTTGGTCATAACTCATGATACCATGTTGTACTATATGAAAAAAATTGGATACCCTAAAGATGCAATGAATGTAGATGTGTAAATTATAAGACTGTAGGTGGTCTTGTAATAAATGTAGGTAATTGGAGCCCCCACATGAATTCAGATATCAACAAAATATCTAAATGAATCACATACAACCAACACATTTCGAAAAACCAACATTTGATTTGAAAAGTATCATAATTTCTCCTCAAGATTCATATGAAAATGCAAGTTGGATTTGTGTTCACATATTTCAAAGATGCTATTTTACCCACAATGTCTGATCTTTTTGGTATCAGCTTGAAATAAAAAAAAAAAAAAAATCTATGGCTTAGAAAAATATATGGGTGTTCTGCATTATGTTCTTTTGTCACCATTTGATGCTGACAGACAGCCTGGCCATTTGAACAAATTGTTCATGAAGTAAATTACATGAAAAAACTCTTCTGTTTAAGAAGCATTGTTACTAAAGGGACCACCACAAAAATCACATTTTTACTAACTTTTATTCGTATCATGGATTAAAAAAGGTACGATCGATGGTCGAAAATGATAACAGTGTTGTTTCCCTGAAGGTTGATAGTGTGTGTGTGTGTGTGTGTGAGAGAGAGAGAGAGAGAGAGAGAGAGAGAGAGAGAGGCTATTTTTATGGTATTTAGTCTAAACTTCAGGGGTGATTGTGTAATTAATCAATTTTTTTTTTCGGCCCCCCCAAAAAATTGATATGCTTCTTTCTTCTCAGGTTGATGCTGTGCACTCTGCATTGAAAGGAATGGGATTTAAGGATGTTGAAATTGTGGTGGCCGAGACCGGGTGGCCTTACAAAGGAGACACGAATGAGGTGGGCCCGAGTTTGGAGAATGCAAAGGCGTACAATGGCAACTTGATTAACCATCTCAAGTCAAAAGTCGGCACCCCACTTATGCCCGGTAAATCAGTCGATACCTACATATTTGCACTCTATGACGAGGACATGAAGCCCGGGCCCGGCTCTGAACGGGCCTTCGGGCTGTACAAGCCCGATCTTTCCATGATCTATGATGCTGGTCTCAGTCAGAGTGACAGCAAGCAGGTTACACCAAAACTCATTTCTCGGTTTATGAATTGAAGGCCTTTTTTTTTATTATGCTTTTTTTTACACTAAGTTCATATTTTACCTGATTCTATAAGCTGAAGACTCGTAATTTCTTTCTGGACAGTAATATGATTTGGTAAAGCATATAAGCTAGTTTATTAGCTTATAAGCTTCCTCTATTCAAATAAGTTTGGTTTGGTAATACGAGCGTTTTAAAAGGCTCCATCGAGCTTATCTCATAAGCCTTCTTAGGTAGCTTTTTTATTTCAGCTAATTTTATCAAACACTTTTACGTATAAGCTAGCTTTTCAGCCATAAATCATAAGCTATCAGCTATAAGCTCGAAATTCACTTTAAAAGCTATAATAAGCCAGCTTATCAGCTAGGTTTACCAAACACAGCCTTAATAATGTCTGCCTTTCCTAAATCGTCATTAGTAATTTTAGTGACAAATTAGTTAACTAAGACCAAATACTCTTGACGAATACATTTACAAATTCTTGTCTCGAATTTTTAAACTTAAATTCTCTGCCTAACCATACCAGACACCGGCCCCAACCCCATCTACCCCTGCCCCAGCTACACCTGTGGGCCCGGCCCCAACATCTCCAGTGGTGAACCCAGCTCCTCCTGTAGCAGGCCCAGTGAATCCAGGCCCAGCGAATCCCAGCCCAACAACACCGGTGGTGAACCCAATACCAAGCCCAGTATCAGCAGCAGCAGGTTGGTGCGTGCCCAGGCCCGGCATACCAGAGGCCCAATTGCAAGGGAATCTGGACTATGCTTGTGGCCAGGTCACGATAGATTGTAGTCCAATTCAACCGGGTGGCACGTGTTTCGAACCAGCCACTGTTTATTCACACGCTGCTTATGCTATGAATCTCTTTTATCAATCTGCTGGCAGGAATCCATGGAATTGCGACTTCATGCAGACCTCAACACTTACCAATACCGATCCTAGTAAGTTTTCTAGTTTTTAATGAATATATATATGTGTAATATATATATATATATTTTTTTTAAAAAGATGAATATTATTAACGCGAACTAGACGAGATCTTCAGAATATGATTCTAAATAAACGTATGGCATTTGCATTTTTTTTGTTAGAAAGGATAGTCGACTAACGGTTAGACAACCTATTTGTTAGTCCCGCCACACTCATATTATATATATATATTAAAGATAATTATTAACTCCGAACTAGACGAGATCTTCTGTTAGTTTGGATGGTTAGACAATCATACTTTTTCAACAAATAAATATACGTACTTTCATACTCTCATACTTTAAAATACGATATAAACAAAAGTATGACATTTGTGTTTTTTTTGTTAGAAAGTATAGTCGACTTACGGTTAGGCGGCCTAACAGCAGAAGAGGATAGAATAAATTGGTTTGATTCTGTGTAAATGTTGAAAGCGTGTAAAAATTGAAAAAAAAAAAAAGGCACCTTATTTTGGGACGTTTGATTTAAATTTTACTGTTTTTTGCAGGCTATGGTGGTTGCATTTACCCTGGTGGGACTAAGTGAAGGATACGGTGAATTTTTTGGCAGTAAAACTTTATTGAAGGGACTGTAATAATAATAATGTGCCCAAAAAGTGTGTATAATGTTTTTTATGCATGCTGACTTACAAATTCTTTCCCCCTTTTTTGTCCATTAAAGTCTCTCTCTATATATAGTAGTTATATAAGAAGGATTATCAAGAACTAGTTCATTAGTTCATGCATACATTTCATGATTTTTCTTGCTGATCTCAGCTTAGTTCCAAGTCCAGAATTGGATAATTAGTGCAAATTGCAAAATATTATGGTAAGCATTTATTGAGCATTATATTTTACTTTTATTCTGCTTAGTTTCTCCTAATAACTGCAATATTAGTATGTTCAATAATTGTATTTATAATTAGCTTATAGTATTAGATCAAATGGGGACTTTTTTTTCCCCCTTTTACAACTGGTTTCTTGTGAAAAGATCTCAAATGAGCTGTTGTTTTGCTAGTGATAATTATTTGCTAGTCAATTAAGAACTGTATTAAAAGTGTGAAGAAAATCTATCTAAAAGAAAAGTGTCACATCTCAATAATATTGTTAAGAATATAGTTCACAATTATTGATCTGACTCAATATATTGATGGATCGAATAAAAAAGCTCAAATTTGACTTATAAGTTGCACAAATTGAGTTTGAGACTAAGTTCGGGAATCAATAAGAAGATATCAAAAGCTCGTATTTTCGAGTCTAACAAGTGACAAGTAGCTCGGGAGATGAATCGTGTTCGACTCGTTAAGCAGGTTTGTATTTTAGTAGCTCAAATTTAATATTTTTCATCTTATTATATTTTCGGGCCTAACAAGTGACAAGTAGCTCGGGAGCTGTATCGAATTCTACTCGTTAAGCAGGTGAGTATTTTATAATAGCTCAAATTTAATATTCTCTTATCTTATTATAAAAAGAATAATAATAATAAGAAAATAGTCTAAGTCGAAATACGGAAATAGAAATAATTAAATACACCTTTTGTGTATGCTATACAGATTGGTGCCACGTCAGCAAAACGCATCCCGGTGGCCTTCACAGTCAAACGGCTCTAATTTCCCCATCACAAATACAAAAAGATCCAATCTTTTTCACTCTCTGAATAGTTACCAGCCAGTTGTGGAGGATCCCTTTCTGTAATTATCTGATTTAAAGCCTGAAAATTTTGTGGGTTTATCGAAATTAGGGTTCTTATGAAGCTGAAGGGCTAGATTTCCCTCTGTTCTTTTCTTCCTTTTCTTGAACGTGGGGACGAAGATGTCAGTGAGTGAGCTGAAGGAGCGGCACATGGCCGCCACGGAGACCGTTAATGGGCTCAGGGATAGATTGAAGCAGAAGCGTCTTCTTCTTCTGGACACTGATGGTACCAATTTTTCTGTTTGTTTCCTTTGAGTTCTTTTGGGTTTCGAGATTTCGTGGAAGTTCAGGTTTTTGTCGTCGTCGATTGTGTTTTTCAGATCTGTTTGTGTTTAGAGAGATTTTTTGGGGTGTGATTGTTTAATCCTCGGTGGCTTCATTTTTTGTCAGTTGCTGCGTACGCGCGGTCGCAGGGGAAGACGCCGGTGGCTTTTGGGCCGACCGATCTGGTTTGTTGCCGGACATTGCAGGGGCACACGGGCAAGGTAAACTTTTTTTTTTTCAATATTCATTTTTTCCCCCAAAGCTATGGATAGTCATTTAGTGATTTCACACAGATAATTCGTGCCTACCGGTGGTTTTTTACCGTTGGATCAAAACATCCAATGGTAGAAAACTCAGCCCTCACCAGTAGGGTCAAATCTACCTTTCTATACATGTATATCTGTGCTTTGGTTGTGGGTTTTGCAGTGGATGGCTGATATCTGGATACTGAATTGTATTGATTAATGTTAGATATTTATGTGAAAATCATTAGTAGGTGGACTTTTGCGATTGATAAATTTTGACAATTATTGATGACCAAAAGGAGTTAGGTCACATATGATGATTATAGACTATACAGTAGGGAACTTTGGGTTCTCATTTTTTCATCCTTTATGTAGCATGCTGCTCGGAATTGTTTTTGTAACTAGCTGATATGAGAAAAATGCAAAATCCATTCATTCTGTATTTTTCTGCAAAATTTGTGTTATTTATTTGTTCGACGTAGTAATCATGGCTTTGAAAAGTAACCTTTTGAAATTTTGTTGCATTGTATTTTCAGAAACCGGAAAAATCTTATCCGTGTAATGAGAATTATGAGATAGCTCCTGCATAACGAGCTGATATGAGAAAATTGCAAAAGCTGTTCATGGTATTTTCTACAGAATTTGCATGTTCTTGATTTATTCGCCGTAGTAAATCGTGGCTTCGAAAAATAATCTTTTAATATTTGTGGCATTGAATTTTCACAATCTGGAAAAATCTTATTAGTGTAATGAGATAGCTCCGGTGTTGTTATATACAATCTCTTCTCTTGGTTGAAGACTTGGATTTTACACGTTGACATAATGTACAGTTTCTATCAAGATCTTTTAGCTTATTACCTGCAAATAAATACATATAGCGGTGGAGATAGATCAAAGTCATTATACTTACTAAAATTAGAATCTTCGTTTGATTTTGTTTGCAGAGAGTTAGTCTCTGCCCTTGTTCTCTCGTTAAATTTACTAATTAGGCTTCTATTAATGGCATTTTTTTTTCAACTGGAATTGTGCATTTTCATAAATCAATTTCAATAAAAATCCCCTTTTCTTTTTCCTAAATCATTTTTTGGCATAAATCTTCGTTTTTCTTAGGTTTATTCACTCGATTGGACTCCCGAAAAGAATCGAATCGTAAGTGCTTCTCAAGACGGAAGATTAATCGTATGGAATGCTCTCACGAGCCAGAAAACTCATGCAATTAAGCTTCCATGTGCATGGGTGATGACATGTGCTTTCTCTCCGAGTGGCCTATCAGTTGCCTGTGGTGGCCTCAATAGCATGTGCTCGATTTTTAACCTCAACTCTCAAACTGACAAAGATGGGAATTTGCCCGTATCAAGAATGCTAAGTGGGCATAAAGGTTACGTTTCGTCATGTCAATATGTTCCGGATGAAGATAGTCACTTGATAACTGCTTCTGGTGACCATACGTGTGTTCTGTGGGATATAACGACTGGTCTTCGAACGTCCGTTTTTGGAGGCGAGTTTCAGTCGGGCCATACTGCTGATGTTTTAAGGTATTTTTGGCCAACTTCTTATTACGTGAGTTAAAGTTAATTGCAATAGACCTTAATATCTTTAGAAGTTACCATTGGTATTATGTTTCTATCTTATAAATTGCACCCTAAATAGAGGATTATGGTTAGTACAAATATCAAGCTTAAAGAAAGGCTATCTGTAAATTGTTTACAACATATTTAATATTATTCATATGATACAAACCAATCGTTCTTACACATCACATCAGATTTAATCCAATATTCGTCCACTCACAATAATTTTAACTAATGATCACTTCACATCATCTCTCTCTTAACTTTGACACCAAAATCAACTTTAATTATTTTATTTTAAACTCAAAATCCCACTAACGACTAACCATACCACCTTTGTCAAAACTAACTATGGTTAACCCAGATAAGAACTCATTTTGAGCGGATTGATTTGTAAACAAGCATGCCCTTAACTTTTTCGTTGGTTTTGTAATTATTTAACCGTGAATATCATTATGAAGGCCTCTAATGCAGTGTCTCGATTAATGGATCCAACTCGAGAATGTTTGTTTCTGGCTCATGCGATTCGACTGCCCGTTTGTGGGACACTCGAGTTGCGAGTCGTGCAGTTCGTACCTTTCACGGTCACGAGGGAGACGTTAATACGGTAAAGTTTTTCCCTGATGGGAATAGATTCGGTACTGGTTCGGATGATGGGACGTGCAAGCTATTTGACATTCGAACTGGACACCAGCTGCAAGAGTACAATCAACCGAACAATGATAGTGAGGTTCAACACGTGACTTCTATTGCATTTTCCATCTCTGGTCGGCTTTTATTTGCCGGGTACACCAATGGACATTGCTATGTGTGGGACACGCTATTGGCGCAGGTATGTAGTCTTCTTAGTTTGTATTTTTTTTAAATAATTTATATATATATATATATATATATTTCAATTTTATTTGTGTTTTTTTATTGCTGGCTCAAATTCATGTTGCATCTCGATTTATCAGGTGGTTTTGGATTTGGGATCTCTTCAAAATTCTCATAATAGTCGGATTAGCTGCCTTGGACTGTCTGCTGATGGCAGCGCCTTGTGTACAGGAAGCTGGGATTCGAACCTGAAGGTGATTCATGTGTTGGATATATATATTCTTTCGTTATTTTTTCAGAAAATGTAATGCATGCACTCTACTGTGATTTGTGTTTGCTTAACTGATGATACCCCTTATGGGATGGATATATAGTTCAATTACAATCCATAGATCGGCAATTGTGTTCTCGTTATGAATTTGAACTTGAACGAGTAGACTTATTGCTAAATTTTTGCAATTACATTCGCACGTTGCAGATTTGGGCATTTGGTGGGTACAGAAAAGTGATATGAGCAGCCGAGACTCAATTCGAGACATCCTCTATCAAATTTTCCAACGGTCCCTAAGTTGTTGTGTGTTGCGAGTTGTGGCCTTACGAATCGGTGTCTGTAATTTTCCTTTAATCTTGTTGTGATCTTTGCTTTAACAGACAAAAGTTGGGTAGATAAATGAAAATTGTGTGCAATGAATTGTGTTCAATTGTTGATTTGTATTTGGTTCTTTCTGGGCTAATAACTCTCTTTTTTCTCAAATTCAACCACCCTTAACATTAAACTCCAACAAATGTACATGCGGTAATCAAGAGATTACAAGTATAGGGGGAACAAGAATCACTTTTCCCCTGAAAGCCATAACTGGCTACAACCACACAGCAGAAACTAAAACAGCAACAACATAGGCACTAAACTTCCCAAACCTAACCAGCTAAGGCAAAGAGAAAACACAAGAAAACCGGCTAATAACTCTCTTCAACTAGGGAAAAAACAATAATATCTAAACTTTCTCAACAACTATCAAACTCTATCGTTTCTTTTTCTTAACCGAATGCAATCTCTGCAGCAAACACGATATCCCTTCCTTCAAAGTAGCTCTTCTTTGTTGGTTGTGATTCCAGAGCTCGGGAACAACGTACCTCCCGCTTGGATTGTACTCGTTGAGCTCCATTAGAGCCCTTGAGACAGCTTCGTAGGCTTCTCCTCCGAGCTCATTCCTCAAATTTTGCAGCCGTGCGTCTTCTTCATCCACGATGCACTGTGCCACCAAATTAAATAAATAAACAATCAAAGAAAAAAAAAAGTTGAAATCAACTTACTTTGCTCATTCTCAGCTCATTAACTTACAGTTGAAATTGACTTACAAAGAACAGCTGAAATTGACTAAAACAGTTGAAATCAACTCTCATTCTCAGCACTCATTAACTAAAACAAAGAACAGCTGAAATTGACTTACTGTGCTCATTCTCAGTTCATTAACTTCCTAAAATTAGCAAAGGAAACCCAGCTGAATGGAAAACTAAGAAAGTCTTTCATATTTAAGACAGGGCATTCACCAGCAGTTAGCTATTTTCCACATAAGCCTGGTAAAAACATCTTGCTTGCATGCATGCTCTTTACATTTGAACTTTTCAGAAGAATAAAAAAAAAAATTCATATTTTCCACAACAGTACCTTCATTGTTTTACCAAAATTAAATAAATAAACAATCAAAGAAAAAAAAAAAGTTGAAATTGACTTACTTTACTCATTCTCTGCTCATTAACTTACAGTTGAAACTGACTTACTCTCATTCTCAGCTCTCATCAACTAAAACAAAGAACAGTTGAAATTGACTTACTTTGCTCATTCTCAGTTCATTAACTTCCTAAAATTATCAAAGGAAACCCAGCTGAATGGAAAACTAAGAAAGTCTTTCATATTTAAGACAGGGCATTCACCAGCAGTTAGCTATTTTCACATAAGCCTGGTAAAAACATCTTGCTTGCATGCATGCTCTTTACATTTAAACTTTTCAGAAGACTGAAAAAAAAAAAATAAAAAAAAAATCATATTTGCCATCAACAGTACCTTCATTGTTTTACCATCTATATCGGGGACGATCTTGAAAGGGTGCCAGTTGGCATCCCTTAAATAACTGTCCCACTCAGTGCACAGCTCGACAGCTTTGATGTTGACTTCTCGACCAGAATGCTTCCTTTTGGCCCCCGAGATGAAAGCTTTGCTGTCAAGCTCCCCCATTCTCTTGATCCGGATGGATTTAGAGACGAGTTCCTTGAAGATCTGTAAGGAAATTTTGGAGCCGTTTTTTAACAAAAGTATTAACTAAATGTTAAATATCTACACTAGTAAAAGAAAGGCGTTATTATTGTACTACTACAAACCACTAATCTTATTGGCAAAAAACTGTTTGGCACAAAAAATGAAAATCGGTCAAATATGAAGAGAATTTATTGAAGCTTACCTCGATCATATCCTTCCTAGCTTCTTGCAGTTCATCGTTGGATCTCCGTTCTTTCACAATCAGATTTTGGTTGAGTGTGTCTAAAAAATCCAGCTCCTCCTCCTTGTCTTTCAGCTCTTTTTGGATGAGACCCAACTTCCCGGCCTCTTGCTGATCTCCTCCATCTTCCATGCGTCTCACCACTTCAAGCTTACCTCTGAGAGTTTGTATGTCCAGCTCGAGCGCTTGCTTGGCATCTATCTGCTTTTCCAACTCTACAATCTTTCTCAGGAGTACCTCTTTCTCTCTCTGCCAAAATTTCAAGGTGTAGATTATTTAAGTACAAGCTGCGTGTAACTAAAAGGCAGAAAAAGAAATATAAAGAAAGAAGGATACCTTGTGATCCTCTGCCAGCTTCAGAACCTTTTCTTCTGCCCTCCTTCGCTCCATGATGGCTTTCTCATTCTGCAAGGTATGAAGTTTCAGATAACAAATTTAATGATATGATTCTCAAGTAGAAGTAATTAATTAACAAATGGGTTTACCTGCAGCTTTTCAGCTTTAAGCTTTTCAAGATTTATGGCCTCGTTTTCATTCTTAACTTCACGCGCCTTAAGTTCCTTCTCAAGCTCGTTCAGATCATTCTTCTTTTTCTCTAGCTCCAATGTGGCTCTACCACATTCCTCCGAGACTCTCTGAAGATGATCACGTGCATTCCTTTGTATCCTCTCTCTCTCTGTTTGAATCATAACATTATTAACCAAAGATAAGAAAAGAAAAAGCAGACTAGGAAGGTAACAGATTTTAAACTATAATAAATTGAAAACTCACATGTATATACACTTCATTCACACACACACACACATATATAGGTATATATATATATACCTTCATTGAAATTTCGGAACATCTCGTTTTTTTCTTCGATCAAGCTGTTCAAATTGATGTGCGCCTCCTTGTACTTGCTCTCCATCTCCATGAGGCGCTCTTCTTGAGCCTCAACTGTGCTGGCCAAACTTGCCACCAGCTTCCCGTTTTTCCTCTTCTCCTCCTCTTCATACTCCATGAGCGTCTTCAGATCACCCTTCGTTTTTAAGTAGTCACCGACTACATTTTCTGCATAGTAGTCATCCATTCGAGCCACCCAGCAGTAGAGCTTGTCACCCCTTTCCCGAGCACCAAAATAGGCGCTCTTCCCCTGACCATTGGCTTCGTAAGCCTTCTCAAACCTCAAGGCATCAGCTAAACCCACCCAGTCGTTATTGAAATCAACCACGGCAAAGCCCGAGTGGCCCATGCGATTCCACAGTGGCTGGACTCTCACGGGATTGAAGCCTCGGCTTTGCAGCTCTTCTCTAAACTTCTTCCCGCTTTCTCCTACGTATTTTCCCTTTATCCTCTGGACGGGAATATTTGCCACGACCCCTTTCCACGGCCAAACAAAGACTTCATTTTCGTCGATTTCCATGGTTTCTTGCCTCTCTGCATACAGAGTTAGGCATGGGGAAAGATCAGAATATGTGAGAAAGTAAAAAGGCACCACAGATTTAAGGTAAATCAAGAAAAAACCAAAATGAAATTTGTATTTCATCACCTTCCAATTCTGCTATTTCAAAGAGAATGAGAGCTTGTTGTTTGTCTAATATATCTTGTATTCACACTGACACACAACCTGCACAACGCCATAGCCTCATAAATAAATCAGAAATAAGGAAAGAAAGAAAAAAGAATCCATGGGTGAAAACTGTAGAATTGCAAAAATATGACTAATGAGTTCATATCACCACGTAGCTAACATCACTACCAAGATGTTCAGAAGACAACGCAAAATCGAAAAAGATAAAATGCAGAATCGGTCACCAAACAGAACCAGAGCAGCACATAACTACTCCGATTCAATCAATCTCGAAAATACACAAGGAAATGAAACAGCTAATGAGCTCGAACACTGAAAATAACCAGAACAAGTGAAAACACACACACACACACACATAGACAAGAAAAACAATTGTCAGCATTAACCAGAGACCACCATTCAATGCCCTAATCAACCACAAATCCCTCATGAACCCGCAGCAAATCTCTCAAACAAACACGCAGAAAACAGCAGCAGGAAAAAAACAAAAGAAACAGAGCACGCCACTCCACCAAAAAACAGAGCACGAGCATGAAAACCAGTGGAGAACAAACGTCATAAGAAAAAAACGGGCTCACCTTAACGAGGAAAACAAACCATACCAAACCAGAAGAACCAGAAGAACACAATACCCAAATACGGAGCAAACACGAAATGGTAGAATTGTTTCTCAGAAACAGACACACGCACACACACACACACGCACGCACACGNAAACCACTGGAAAACAAACGCCATCAGCAAAAAACGAGCTCACCTTAACGAGGAACACAAATCAATCCTTTCACAACCGGAAGAATACAATACCCAATCCAAATATGGAGCAAACACAAAATGGTAGAATTTTTTCAGGTGCTTTCACACACACAAACACACACAGACGAAGGTGGAAGCTGAAAAGGCGGTTTGCTTGTGCTTCGGGTTTTTTGGCAGCTGCATGTTTCATAATAAGGGGAAATTGAGAGAGAAAGTGGCGCAGTGTTAATATTTGTCTTTTTAACACGTGGCGGGTGTCGATTGGGTGGTATTGTTAACTCGCTTGACTCGTGTATGGGTTAATTTGTACGTCTGTGTGTGCGTGTTTTTGTGCGGAGCAGTGACAGTGTACTATTTGTGGAAATTAAATGTTTAATTTTGTTTCTAAAAAATTTGAAATGAAATTAGTATGTGATTTTTATATTAGTATATAAAGGAAGTCACAACTTGGTCAAATGAGTTAAATGATAGATGGCGTAGGGTGTGAAAATGAAGATATAGAGATGTTAACTCGTTATTTCTCGAGCTCAGCTCGATTTATTTGATAATTGAGTCGGGTTTGAATTCATTAAGGCTCGTAAACAGATATTATTTATATAAGTTTTTTTTTAATTCGACACATATAAGTTCGAGCTTGGCTCGTTATTGTTGATAAACGAGTCGAGTTCACGCTCGTTAATTGACTTGTTTTGTTAATGAAAAAGTTTAAACTCGAGTTGACTCGTTAATACATCGAGATGAAAATATTTAAAAATTTAAATAGTAAGTCTTAAGGGCAAGACAATTATACCTTTTTTATATATATATTTTTTAAAATTAAAATGTTACACTTTACAAAATAACATCGAGTATGCGTTTTCGTTAAAAAAATAAAAATGGTTGACCCGTCTAACGTAAAATATGTAATGTCTAAAATTGGTCAAAAGTTTTTAATGGGAAATCAAATCGGAAAGGGACAATAGATTATCGGAGGCAACACGAATATTATTGAATTAATATAAATGGAAATTATATGTATGATGAGATTTTGTGTAAGTGAAAGTGTATATTTTTAGACAATTTTTAAGCCCTTTAATGGTTATTTGTCGTGTGGCGTGTGCCTTGTACATAAAGTTTAACTGTTTAAGTGAAAAAAAAAAAGGTGATAGTTCTATTTATTTATTAATCTTCTCTTTGTGCCACAAATAATGAAAGAAACCTGCATTTGTACAGACTATACTCTACAGTGCACTACGCTAGGTGTGGCAATTAATTTTTTTCGAATTTTGTATATATGCACACCAATTTTGCTATGGAACCATCGGATAGCTCGATTTATAGAGCCATCCACACTTATTCGTCAATAGTATATTGACACGTATCCTGCAATAAATACAATTTGGACAGGTATCAATACATTGAGTGGTAGATGGCTCCATAAAAAAACCATTCGATGAGTCCATAGAATTTTTTATATACACACATATAAGCATCTTAACCACAATTTTCCTTCTCTCAACTTGAAATATATGTAAGATATAATTCCCAAAGGACATAAATTATATGCAACTTAAACCACATGAGATTATCATATTGTCTAATGAATAATGAATGACATATAGTCCAATAAATACACTTTCACAAGAATGCACAAACCGGTGTAAGAGTCGTCCCCTATCTTCAAACCATAATTTTGAAGTTCTTTATCCATAATACACAAATTCTTGAACGAGCCAACTTAATCATTAAGCACATACACTGTCATACTCTATGAACTAAATTGCATATGTGATAAAAGCCATAAACAACAACTCCTATTTACATTATTTTATGTCCAACTTTGATATCAAAAAATTATGTCAAAAGTAATATATTTCATTATATATATTCCAGTTGTCAAATTCGCTCAAGGAAGAAAAATGGGGAAAAAGGGAGTTCCTATTTTACAACTCTCACATTTCATTCATNCTATCTTGACTGGACAAAGAAAAATCACAAATAAACTATCCATTGGCAACTATTTCGTGAATGGCATCACTAACTTTGCCATCTTCAGATCTCACTGCTAACTTCATAGCCACCTCTTTCGACCCATCGATTCCGAACGATAACCGCACAAGAACCTTCACGTTTCCTATGTACACGCCCGACAGCAAACACATATGTGATCTCGAGTTGCTCGGGACCACCTCAGTACCCTGGAAAAACATCACAATCGACCAGCAAAAAAGCATGAAAATTTCATTCGTGATCACAAACTCGATTCTCTTGTGAAATTCCTAAGGCCGTGATTGATACAAAAATTTCCACCCAAAGTGGATTTTTTTTATTAAGTGAATGAATAGTGAATTAAAGTAGATGTGATGTGTAAGAATGATTGGATAATATTATTTAATTATATTTAATATTGAGGATAGTGGTGTTGAGTTAAATTTGAGTTTGATTTTGAGATTAATTTTGAAGTGAAATTTTTTGTATTAAAAAAGAAGTTTATCCATATTCCTCAGGTTGAATAATGAAGGAAGGCTTTCTATAATGTAAAAGAAATCGGCACTAACCTCACAAGGCTGCATGCCAAGAAGATTGATTACTGCATTTACTGCTTCAGCAAGGCTTTCACGAGGTCCAAGCCCGTATTCGTCAACACGCTCACCATCCGAGCCTAGACTTTCCCACACATTCTTGAAATTAGAAACCCCGATTTTCAGAATATAATCGGCAGAAAGAATTTCAAAATCCTCGAGCTGATATTCATCTTCCACACCATCATCTTCAGCCTCACCAGTAGAGGGATCAACCTAAACAAACAGTCAATTCAAGCAGTAAAACGAGTATCTAACAAACAGTCAATTCAAGCAGTAAAACGAGTATCTGTCGTACAATTGACGGTAACTAGAACTTTTCTTCAGGATAATAATCTATATGCTGATGATGTAAGTAGAATTCAAAATCGGGCACTTGAAATAGCATGCGCTGGATTAATAATCAAGGTTGAGTGAGCAATCATCAAAGATTTCAAACTATCAAAGTTATAACCAACAAATACCTCTTTAATGGTAAATCTCAACACGTTTGAAAATTTCCCAACTGCTGGGACGCCTTCAGGTTTCTCAAATGCCACAAATGTTTGCGCTGGTGTGTCATATGGGAGGGACCTTAAAGGTTTTGCTCCCACTTCTGAAAACTCCTCGGCTTCAGAGGCATCCACAATAACAGTCACCTAGAAGCAAGATGACAGTCAAGAAAATAAATAGATAAATAAATTAAAAAAAAAAAAACTCATTTAAAAAAAAAAAAAACATCAATATTCAACTCTACATTTTCAAGTAGCTGTTCTGGTATTGTATTAGTGCAGTTGTACTGGAACACCACGTGGCGGTCGAATATGTGCTTGACAACATTAACTGCATATTCAGTTTCCTCTTCTGTAAGCTCCACTGGTGTGGATGACTGTCAAGAGCAACAAAATTCGGTGAGCACCTAGCCAGAAGAAAATACCAGAAAAATGTAAATGTTTAAAGATCCAAAAACCTTGAAAAGCTTTCCAAAACTTGCAAATTCAGGGATTGAGGATAGAAGTTTTTCATAACCATCAGTTTGGGAAGTGGGGCCAGAAGATGGTGCACCCAAACCACTTGGCTTTTTACCAGGGGCTTTCTTTTCTGCAAGAGACTGAGATTTGACCTCTTTTGGTACGGTATTAATATCGAAAGGCTCTTCTGTAGGATCCTGGATCTGTTTCCAAAGGACAACGAGGAAAAAAGCCATAAGCTAAATATAATCACTTAATGACATACATAACGGAATTCTAATACAAGCTACAAGCACCATGGATACTTACATATTTTTTCAAGCTGGTTTCAATATTTATCAAAGGTATATCAAGCGAGCCAAACAAAAACTCTTTCACATCTTTGTCGGTTTCAGCAACCGAACCATCTCCAAGTGTATTCAAGTATAATGTAGCTCGGTCTCGGACCTGTAAAGTGCCATATGTGTGACTTTTGAGTATTTGTGAGAAAGAATGAGACATTTTTTTAAGGAAAAAAAAAAGGCGAAATATAAATAATCTGGAATATTTACACAACGGGTTAAAT